GAAAGATAAACATTTTAATAATACACCTGTGAGAAACTTAGTTTTAAATAATGAAAACAACTTTAAAACTATAGCTAACCATTTGTTAGTTTCACCAGTGTAGTCAGTTTGTTAATAACTCTGATATTTTTTTAAATATTAAAAGTTGCCTGTTCGAGTCTTTGAGCCTAAAAATTCAAGTTTATCAATTTAGACTGATGCTTTTATGCATTAATGAAGGAATGCTGCTCGTTTTAATAGGTTTTAAAAGGCACACAAAAAGCACAATTAGCCATAGTGATAAATTCATCTTGGGGCATGACCAGCATTGTGAACAGAGCAGACTTCCAGCAGTGCCTTTTTGACAAGCATAAAAGATCACACAAACTTCAGCTGTGCTGAACATGACTTGCATATGAAATTCTGCAATCTTTTTTAGGCTGAATTGCTCTGGAAAACTGATGGAACTTTAATCCATGGTAAGTGAAACTGACCAAATGAATTAGGTAGAGTTTAACTGGAAGGTGACTGAGATGACAATGATGCTTATGATTGCTTCATCTGCATTTGAAAGCACAGGAAAAATAACTGAGAGTGTAACTGAACTATAGTAATCAGAAATTCCTGTAGAATCAGAAGGTTGTGGCTTTCAGCACCACTTTAGGAGCTGTGCACATCGTGCATCAAAGAAGTGCTGCATTGTTAAAGAGTCGCTCTTTGGATGACATGTTAAACCAAGATTCTTCCTGCATTAAAGATCTGACAAACATTTTCAAAACAGCAGAGTGCTGCCAGTGTCCTGGGCAACATTAATTCTTCAATCAGAGATAGTTAACTACTCATTCATCTAATTTCTGGCCAGTTGACAAAATCTTATGTAAGTTAGTTATCATTTTCATCTACGTCGCTGCACTTTAAATAATTCTATATTAAAGATTTTGCATTTTCCCATATAAATATTCATTTTCCTTTCATTATCTTTTCAAGTTGTGCCAGGTTTGAGAAACAAAATCTTGCATTTATCCGGCAGTTTTCATGTCAGAATATCCCAAAATGGTTTGAAACCAATGATCTGCAACCAGACTAGCAGCAGCAAGGCTCCACAAACAGGAACAAGATGCTTGTCCAGTTAATATACTTTGGTGATGTGGTTAAGAACTGAATCATTGCCTTGTCACTCCTGACTCCCTACATTAAAATAAAAGTATAAATGGATAATTTAGATCCATCTGAAAGGGGAGGCAGGTACTCATTTGGACGTTTGCTTTGGAGTTGAGTGGGATGGGGGAAGAGAGAGCAGATGGTGCTACATCTGGGCCTGACCACAAAGACAGATTGATTCACCTTAGCTCATTGATGAGAAAGAGAAAAATCAGTATTTGTTTCTACTCTTGATTGCTTTGAAATCTCTGCTGCAAAGTACCGACATTTACTGTTGAAGAAAGTCCCCTTGGGCAAGGAAGTGGGAACACCTAGCTATTGCAGAACTGCACCAATACAAGATTCAATGCGTTCAGGAAAGGAAGCTGGAAGAAATTGTGCAACAAAAGAAATAAATGGAAGTTTCCTTCAATCTGTAACATATGCAGATTTTCTTATCATTCAATTGTTTCGATTGTTTGGGATTATGTACATCACTTATACAATGGACAAACTGACAGATGAATGCAATATTGTGTGCTATATTTTGAGCAAAATCAAAAATATCCGACAGCAGACTAAATTGCATCCTGTGTGATAATATGCTACAGAATATGGGCTAATTTTAACAGAATTTCAGAACAAATTTACTTTCCCTCTATCCTTCAGGCATGTCATTAAGGAACTCACAATTGAGATGGGTTAAAGGTATATTAATTTTCAAAGGACAGCATCTAGATGATGCAATCTATTGTCAACAGACCTTGGTTACGCTACAGAAGAACCACAGTGTGACTTGCACCAAGATGCTGTGTTTTAAAACTGAACTAGAGTTATAATGAAACTGACAAGTATTTGAAGTTGTTTGCCTATGAATTAGTGCCTTCAGGGAATCTGAACTGGACATAATGCACACAATACTTATAACAGTAATGCATACCTGAAACTGCTACACATTAATGCAACAACGTCTTATAACTGCACATGTCCCATACTGGGAACAGGTTCGTTAATTCCAGATGTACAAAAATATCCATATTTAAGTCAATGCGTGGATATAAGCCTATTCTACTTTAACATACTTGCATTACTTAATAATGTAAAATTTTAAAAAGCAGGCTCTAGAGTAGGGCTTTTTTTGAATAAATGCTGGGATTTAATGAATGTTCAACACTATGGAAAAAATAAAAAATACAGAATGCATGGATCTATCAATAGCATAAATATTTTAAATAAGTGAAGTGATCTATTTAAATACCTCTTTTAACTAACTTAGAGAAGGATTATGAGATGTCTAAACTAATCAAAAACAATGACTTTATTTTGGACTTTTCCCTCTTGTGTAAGACGCACTGAGGAAATAGGTCAAAGATAGCATTTATTGTTCAAATCAGATAACTGTATACATTATTATTGATTGGCAGCGATGGCTTTCTGTGAACATTGTTACATACTTTGTCTAATAACAGTTAGGCAAATGATGTGTCACCATTGCAAATACTAGCTACTAGCACTTCTGAATGTTTGGCAATGTTGAAAATGAAACATAGTAATTTGATTTATGGATGGGGATGATGTGCAATGACGTGAAAAAGCTGACCAACCCGCTGCTTTTTCTTAATAAATGATTTACCATGTTAACCTTGAGACCATTAAGTGAAGCTACTACATATGCACCATCACGATTGTTCCCTCAATATTTTGAACTCCTATTGGAAATACCTATATGTTCCTATTGTAGCTAAACACAGGATGTTAAACACAGAAGGCAGCCTTATTCTGTCTGTACTGAATTATTAGAGCAATTAAAAATTATACTACCTTATTCTCTTCTTATAGCTTTGTGCATGTTTTTGTTTCAAGTATTTATCGTCTTTTCACTTAAAAAGAAAAAAACCATCTCAACTTTTTCTCATGCAAAGCATTCCACGTTTGAATAACTCGGTGCAAATACATTTCTTTGAAACTCAATTCTCCCACAGTAACTACTTTAAATCAATGTCCTTTTCTCTGCTTCAATCCAATTAGTACTAGTACATCAAGTGGCTCTTTGCATCTCACCCCTAGTGATTCTACAGTGGTTCTTTCTATGGCTTAATGTCCTTTGAAATAATGTGTGCCCAAAAATGCAAAATGTGCACTAAATTGTACAGCAGAAATGTATCATTAATCTTTGCTCTAGAACTCTGTTTACAAACTACTCAGTGCTTTTGACCTTTGTTGTGCCTTAATAAACATGCAGGGTTTGCACGTTTTAATTCCTGGGTACCCCTGTTCATTAACATCCCTTAGTGCCTGTCCATTCTTATTTTTCTCCCAACATGCATTATCTTATACTTCTCTGTATTAAACTGTATCTCGCATTTTGCAACAATCCCAGCAATGCAGCTCCATCCTCTTTAAAACCTAAAGGGCTCATCAATGTTTATAAAATCCCTATTGTGTAATAAATAAATTTTATTCTCGTGTTTTCTATGCCAAAGTCTATATTTCATATTTAATTATACAGAATAAAATCAGGCCCAACATTGATCACCAGATTTCGTTATCAAACCTTTCTCTAATTAACCCTATCCACTCTGTCAACCATATTTTGAACCACTTTGCAAAATTTTCTCTTTCTACACATTTAGATTTAACAAATGCTTTCTAAAAATCTAGAATACGCACAATAAGAGCTCTAATGCTTTTATCCATTAAAGTGGTGGAATTTTTAATCTCTCTTTAGCTGCTGCATACCCTTCAGAAACTATATTAAACATATTGAACATAACCTACCTTTAGCGAACATTCAAACACTATTTTGATTATTCTATAAATACTACAGGATCTTTGGAATACTTGTACCTACTTATATTGAGCAAATTGTACAGGCCATTCAGTCCAAATAATCTATTTTGATGTTTACGTTACACAAGTTTCCCCACACTCCACTTCATATAACCATATCAGCTATCTTAGCATTCCTTTCTCCCTCATACTTATTTATCTCCCCTTGAAATAATCTGTGACATTATCTCAACTATTCCTGGTGGTAGAGTGTTCCACATTATTTTCACTCTATAGGTAAATAAGCTTTTCATGAATTCTCTATTGGGTGAAATTAGTGACATCTTATATTTGTGGCCCCCAGCTGTGGTCTCCCACTCAAGTGAAAATATCTTCCCAACAGTTTCCCCATCAAAGCCTTTATTTACCTTAAATACCTCTGTCAGGTCGCGTCTCAGCTTTGCTTTTCCAAGGAACAAATCCCCACCATGTTCACACATTCCTGATGATTTACATAACCCTTTCAACTCTGTTTCACCCTTGTGTCTGTTCTGGCATCAAAGCTGTTATATTCTTTTGATTATGTGCAGTTCAGAACCATGTACAGCATCTAATTGTGATCAAAGCAAGGTTTGACACAATTATTAATCTAATTTCTCAGAATTCCAATCTTAATCCGACAGAACCAACCAGTGTTCAATTTGCATTTAAAAAAAACTTATTAAACTGCCTCACTATTTTTAGTATCTATGATAAGGTTATATGAAGTGGAGTGTGGGGAAACTTGTGTAACATTAACATCGAAATAGATTATTTGGGCTGAATGGCCTGTACAATTTGCTCAATATAAGTAGGTACAAGTATTCCAAAGATCTTGTTGTACTTATAGAATATAGATTCCTCTGCTCCTCCACTCCATTCAAACACTTATTATCCAAGCAGAATGCAGTCTCCAGTTTCTTCCTACCCAAATGCACCACCTCATGCTTAATTGCACTGAAATTTGTTTGCCATGTTATAGTGAAGCACTGGATGCTGAAACACTTTGTTTAGCATCCTGCACCTTTTGTAAATATGGCATATAAAGTATGGGCTCATAATGTTTTACTCACCATTTACAAAAACATCTTCAGGTAAAATGAGAGTCAACAGTTCAGCAGACTGTCCAATATACTTTGCTTGGATGTCGGATTCAAGTGTGAATTCTGTGAAATCAGACATTTATTTAAAATATTGAACATTTTGATTGCCGCAATGCTGCCAAGACTCACTTGGCTTCAATCCACCTAAAATATTGGTCTTGAACTCCGACCAACTCAGCAAGCTCACAAATGTCATTTTGCAATTTATCCAAACTCAGTTAACCCTGTCTTCTACTTTTGGAAGAAGTTAAAAAACATATATACGGCAATCTGCAACATAGATGTAACTATGCATGAATATTCCAACAAATCATTTATATCTTTACATAGTAAATGAATTACCAGGGTTGCGGTAGGCATTACGCAAAGCCAACGTCGATACATTATTGTTGGTGTGATCAAAACATTGGTATTGTTATTTTTAAACAACTTTTGCAGCCATGTGAAGACACTTCCAGGCTAAGTGGGATTTGAACCAATGCAACCACTAGGTTGCGCAGTAACCTTGCACATGCGTAAACAACTGCAGTGCAATGGAACAGAAGTTGCCTGGAACCAAGATGTTGCTGCCATTTAATCACATTGCAGGGCTGAGTCAAACTCCTGAGTGTCGACTCACTGAAATTAATTACCATTTCACTTCCAGCTGAGATAATTGTTAAAAATATTTCCTTACGACAGCTGATAATTTGCTATTGTACTTGGAATAAAGCCATAACATTCTCAGGCTGAAAAGACATTGGGGTAAAGTCTCATTTTTATCCCTTAGGCAGACTATAAAATCTGTGATCAGGGAGACAAGCAACTACAATCTATGGTAGGAAATGGGTCAAATCTGCTTAAGGGCCAATACTTCTTACTGCAGCTAAAGATAGAAATGCCAACTGAACACTAAATGAAAATGCAAACAGAACTTTTGCCTACAGAAATGTCAAAGTACTTTGGGAGAGATCATTTTTCTTCACGTCACTGGCACCATCTGAGCTACATAGGTATCAGCCATTTCAGTGCTGGCAATACACAATGTAAAACATTTTACAAATCTCGAACAATATAAATTTAGACACTTAAGTAAACTAAAGAAAAAAAATTTAGTTTGTTTAATTACAGTAAGTCAATTATTGTCATTTGATAAATTTATTTTTAGGGACATATATTTAGATACAAAATATTGTAACTATATATTGAGTCACATCATAAACAATATTTGTGTTCCTGAGGAATAATCTGCCTTTTTCTTACTATTGTCCTTTGTGTTAAAAATCTCCCCCAAGTTCTTCTTTATCCAAGGAAAATTTTCATGTACTGGTACTAAACGTAACACAGGTGATGATAAAACTGCAAGCCTTAGCTCGTTGGTAACATAATCACACAACATAAAGATCATTGGGTTGTGAAACTTGAACAAATAATTCAAACTGACACTTCAGTGGAAATGCTACAGTGTCTGAGGTGCCATATTTTGGCTAAGACGAACTGAGGAGCCGCATGTGTTTCTTGGGAGGATGTAAGAGATTCCATGGCACTATTTTAATGAAGAACAAGGAAGCGTTCCCAGTATCCTGGCTACTATGTATTCCTCAATCAATACCACTCTCTAGTTACAAATCTCATTGTCATTTGAGAACTTTGCTGCACACGTATTGGCTACTTTGTTTAATGGAGGGAAACATCGATTACACTTTAAAAGTACCTCATTGACCATATAAACATTTTGGGATATCCTGAGACCCTTAAGAGCACTATATCGATGCAAAATATTTAACTTTCGTTTGATTGATTTCTTGCTTTCTGCCGACCTGCCATAGTGAAAGTTTGTCATTCATTTTACATAATCCACCTATTCTTAAAAACAGTTTGACTTTAACTTTTGTTCTGTGCCTCACATTGCTCCCAGTCTTACAACAGCAGCCTAAGAAGTGTTTTGTACCACTGCTTAAAGTACTATGAACAACTTTTGGGCTTTAAAACAACAAAGGGAAAAAACTCATTTCCAAAGATCCAAACAAAAATGTATATCAACAATATTAACTACTTTTCAATGGCTATGTAGTTTGGTGAATGTGTAGAGGTTATACACTGATAATGCATCAGACATTTAATGTAACATACAGGTCAGCTGCTAAAATATTGTAACTACTAGAATATTCACAAAAGGTGAATAGCTATAGTTTTGACTGATAACAATAATAAAATATTTGAGTTTGCTGGCTGAGTTCATGGCAAAGTTCAATTCCAGCAACACTTTAATGACCTTCCTCTCACTGTGTAAATACCTAGTACGTGCGGACACACACGTTCAGAAGTGGATTGATTGCATCTTTATTTAAACTTATGCGTAATGCTTTTCCAAGATGTTAGATAGTAATTATCATTTAAAAATAAGCCAGATTTAACAATTTGGGTCAATGTTACTAAATAAGTCATAACATACAATTAGGATTTGAACTGGATAGAGCTGAAAGCCATTTATTTTTCTCATCCAAAACACTGTGCAATGCAGTCATCCATCCTTAAAACTAAAACTGTTGACATAGTTAGAAACTAATGTTCACACTAAATTAATTCTGATGCTGTACAGGGATCAAATACACGTAATGCGATCGGATTTACGATAGTAGGTCAGCACCAGAAATCTGACGCACTATCTTTGTTTAATAAGTTATCTTGATGGGCAACCAGTTCCTGCTTAGAAGTCATGAGTTAAAGCAACATAGGTAAAATATTGCACTTTAAGGTACAATTATCAGAGACATCACCGTTAAATGACAGGAAGTGTATTTAAATAGCTAATGTTGCCTACAACATTTAAATTCCTTGAATTTAACAGCCTCCGTAGTGCTGTTCAAATATTCAAAAAACCACTTAATATTCTCTGTACTCAGGACATGATGTAAAATAATTAGCCGGTCAAATGCCTGAATATTAACAGAAATAAATGAATTATAGTTCAATTATTCAAAAAGAAATTTATCAGTTTTAACAAGGCTACTACAAACAAGACCTCAAGCTGTAGTAAGCAATCCGTCAACAAATTTATTTTAGGGTTGTACTATTTTCTGGGGTCAGTTAGCTGCAAGGCTGGTTTGCAGAGCAGAGTAACACCAATAGTGAGAGTTTAATTTCCACACCGGCTGAGGTTTCCTTCTCAAACTGTCCCTCACCTGTAGCATGGTGACCCGCAGGTTAAACTCACCACCAGTTAAACCCGTGCCCCCCACCCCCCAACTTTCTCTCTCTCTCTAAAAATGGGGGAGCAGTTCTGTGGTCCTCTGGGACTATGACAATCTTACTTTTCCTTCTGGATCCCAGGTCCCAATAAACAGCACATTATCCTAAAATTTAGATAGTTCACGACCTCTTCCTTCAGAAAAGTTGTTGCTAAATGGGGATATGGGGAAACACATTCCAAATCTGGAATAATTGCTGAAACTATGCAACATTGTTATTTATATATTGCTATAAAGTTGTAATGTAAGGATTATAAATAATTCATTCCATTTAGTGATTTAATATCTAGGAACTTAGTTTGAAAGAAAAAAAAACTTTTAAGTGAGCCAGGGCACTCTTTAAATGGCTGCAGAAGTCACCTATTCTACAAATAAAATCTCTGAGGTGGAATAACAGGAGACATTCTAGGCAGTTCCCCCACAGAAGTTCATATTTGCCATTGTTTCTAATTTCTTTTAAAAAAAACACAGCAATATGTAATATCTCATCTGCAGATGCTGCCAGAGACCAAACAAAATATACTAGAACCCATTATGTAAAAGGGTACTGAAGACTCCCCTACCTTGATAACTTTGACTGACACTCACGTTAACGTAGATATTCCCCACTGTGCGCCGAAAAAGCAGCATTATATGACAGAAACATGAGGTTTTGCAAAGAGAGATCATGTTCAACCAATTAACTGGAGATCTTCGAGGAAGTAACATATGCTGAGGTTAAAGGGGAACTAGTGGATGTATTGTACTTTGGTTTCCAGGAGGCATTTAATAAAGTGCCACATCATACGTTATTGCAAAAAATAAGAACTTGTGGTTAAGCAGGTAACATATTGGCACAGTGAGAAGAGTGGCTGACTAACAAGAAGCAGGGAGTAGGCATGAATGGGTCTTTTTTAGGTTGGCAGGATATAACAAGTGGTGTACCACAGGAAGTAACGTTACAGCCTCAACATTTTACAATTTATGCAAACAACTTAGAGGAAAGGATGGTAAGTATGATTGTTACATTTGCTGCTGACACAAAAACAGTAGGAAAACAAGTTGTGAAGAGGATATAAGGAAGGTACAAAGGGATATAAGTAAGTTAAGCAAGTAATCAACGATCTGGAAAATATAGTATAATGTGATTTTGGCAGAAGAACGAAAAAGAAGCAGAGCTCTGCGGTGCAAAGGGATCTGGGTGCTCTGGTGCATGAATCACAAAAGGTTAGTATGCAGGCATGGCAATTAATTAAAAAAACTAATAAAATATTGTCATTTATTGCAAGGGGAATTGAACTCAAAAGTAATTGCTTCAGTTATACAAGGCACTTGTGAGATCATATCTGAAGTACTTTGTACTGTTTTTGCCACCTTATTAAAGAGAATGTGTTGGAAGCAGTTCAGAGAAGGTATACTAGACTACTATCTGAAATGGGAATGTCATCTTGAGGAAAAGTTGGACAAGTAATCATTGGGCAAAAAACCCAATGAACTGCAGAGTTCTGAAGAAGGGTCACCAGACATGAAAAGTTAAGAATCATAGAATCCCTACAGTGTGGAAACAGGCCCTTCGGCCCAACAGGTCCACACTGAACCTCAGAGCATCCCACCCAGACCCATCCCTCTATAACCCACCTAATCTACACCTCCCTGAATACTACGGCAATTTAGCATGGCCAATCCACCTAACCTGCACATCTTTGGACAGTGGGAGGAGACCGGAGCACCTGGAGAAAACCCACGCAGACACGGGGAGAACATGCAAACTCCACAGACAGTCGCCCGAGGCTGGAATTGAACCCAGGTCCCTGGCGCTGTAGGCAGCAGTGATAACCACTGTGCCACTGTGCTGCCCCAAACTCTGCTTTCTCTCCACAAATGCTGTTTGACTTGCTACGTTTTTCCAGCAAATTCTGATTTTGTTTCTGAGTATCCACAGTGTTTTGTATTTCGGAGTAGGCAGCAACTTGACTGAAACAAACAAGATCCTGAGGGGTCTTGACAGGTAGCCATAGAGAGGGTGTTTCCTCCTATTGCAGAATCAAGAGTAGGATCCCTGTTTAAAACTCAGGAGTTGCCCAGTTAAAACAGAAATGAGATGAAATACATGTGAGTGTGTGAGCAAGACTGTGTGTGTTGCAAGATTCAGGACAAGTTTTATCTTTTTAATAAGTTTTACACATTATCTAAGTGTGTTTGACAATAAAAGTCCTTATTTGTGTTAATTCAAAAGATTTTTCTTGCCCATTTCTTTATACAAATTTACACATATTGTAACTGGTACAGGTAGAATTGAAAGGGTACATCTTTAAAAAGAAACTCATATACTATTATAGCCAACTTCAGCAATGGAAAAGAAGAATTTATTCATCTCTCTGTACTTGATTGTTACACTATGCCTTGTCTCTTTCCTGTACCTGTGAAGATTAAATTCTGTTAGAATTTTAAGAGTACGGCCCTATCACTCCCCCTGGTCTTTTTGATTGCATTGTCATGAACTAGGCACTCTTGTTAAAAATAATCCCATGATCTGTAGGATTGCATACATCACTGTAAATAAGAATTATCAAAGATAAAGTTTAGTTGTAAAGTTCCACAGTATTTCTATCACAAAACTTGTATATTTAGGACAGAATTTTCTCTTCCTGGTGTGGCCTGAGTAAATGTGAGAAAGGTAGGATATATAACAAGAATGACAAAATCAAGTTCTCAACATCATGAAACATTTTTCCGATTGCCTCTCAAAGCTTAAATCTCAAGATTTTATAATCTTGCCATTGAGCAGTAACTACTTTCTTTCCCTGCATTTACAGCTCATTAAAACTCTACTCGGCTTATTTATATGCTACTCCTAATTTTCCTCTTTCATCAATGAGCTATGATGTGGAGATGCTGGTGTTGGATTGGGGTGGACAAAGTCAGAGGTCACACAACACCAATATGTTTATGTTTATAGTCCAACAGATTTATTTGAGATCACAAGCTTTTGGAGTGCTGCTCCTTCATCAGGTGAAGTGATCACTTCATCTGATGAAGGAGCAGTGCTCAGAAAGCTTGTGAGTTTGAATCAATAAATTGGTTGGTGCAAATTCCCTACGTTAAAATTAGGGCGATTTACTCATGGCTACAGCTTACTGAATGCTTGTTCTGCCCATCACGCAATTGCTTTTCCAGAACAATATCCCTGTATGCTCCACGGCCACCATCCTCTTCAATCTTTGTACCCTCACAGTCAGTAGTAGCAAATCACCACATCATTATGATCCTGAACTCGGACCAGCTTAGACATCATTTCAGCCCTTCAACACTTAGGAGCTTAGGAACACACGACTTTGCATGTTTCTGCCAGGTCACTCTGTGTATAGAGACATGTATGTATTTCATGCATCTTATAGGAACAGGGTAGGCCATTCATCGTTCTGATATCCATTTTTAATGATTCCCAGAACAGCCTTAGTCAATGTAATCAGTTCAAAATACACTTTAAACATAACTTTCATCGCACACTCACGTTCATAGATCTAAATATTTGTGCCAGAGACCTTGTGAGTCCTCCACTAAACAAAAAACTACCATTTATGAACTCTTTTCATTATTGTAGTTTTCTCTGAAATTTTAGAACATCAGATTTCTCCATATAGAGCTGTTACTACCATTTACTGGCCTAATCTACAAGCCTGCTTGTGCCATTTTTCATTCATTCTCACAGGCTAACAATGTCCCTGATTTTGTATCATCAGCAAAATTAGAGATCTCTTGTGTGCCTCAGCCAAATAATTTATGAGGATGAACAATGAAGAAAACGTCCTTTCACAGGTTCCAGGAATTTGCCAAAACTGAAAACCTATGGTACAATTTCTGCTGCCAAATATGAAGAATACTTGTTCTCCTTAAGTCAATCGCATGTTAGTTTCAGCAAGTCCAGTTTTGATTAATCTCATAAGTGTGGATACAGTCATAGAATCATAGAGGTGTACAGCACAGAAACAGATCCTTTGGTCCAACTTGTCCATGCATTTGCCAGCATGGTGAATCAGCTAATTTTGTATTAGTTAATCCCAATAAAAAGTAGATGAAAAGTAGAATCTGTTTAGATCTTGGACTGATTTATTTTGGACATTACCAAATATTAGTTGGACCATAACATGGTTCATGTTAAATGTAACAGTGTAGAGTTCAGTAAGGTCGGTTGGTACATTAGGCGGAATGTTGCTGTCTTAAGATTCAATTAATACAGCTCTGCTTGGAGGAGTTACACCTGTGATTATTTACATTCCTCAACTACCTCAGCTGCCTACAGCACAGTAATGAAAGCTGCACATGATCTTCTGGAAGGGATAGACTAAATCAGCCAAGCCACCTTGTCTCATCTTGTACTTTGAAATGTACTTGACCATTATTATACTTATCACACATCTAAAATAAACAGTTTACTTGGAATTGGATTTGGAAAATTACCAAGAACAAAAGTCACCGTTACAGGCAAAATATGCATCTCATATCATGCACTAAAAATGTATACCACTAGCAAAGAGAATTCTATTAACTTTTTAATGAAAGTCAACTTAAAACTAGTGAATTTTATATTTTCTTGTATATTAATTGCAAATTTCAAAATGTATCCTTTATTCAATTAATGTGTAAAAATTGTATTCCAACCCTATGATGTGTGAAACTCAATATTCAATTAAATAGGAGTAAAGGATTAGGTTACTTTTGTTACGAAGCATTACTACAAATGCACTGAAAGAGAAAGTAGTTGTACATTAGCAGTTGTTTTGCATTTAATGGTAGCATTCACTTATCCAAACAGTAATGATTTTATAATTATTATTTACCAATTACTCACCCGCCATGTAGTCCTGTTCACCCGCAGAATCCTCTTCACATTCACCATCAATACCTCTATCATCAAGCAGAATTTGCTTCGATTGAGTTGCAGCTCGCTTTGGTCTAGATCGAACTGAGGAACCTTCATTTTCACCAGAAATATTATCTAAGTGTATAGAAAAACATCTATCTATGGACTTCTACAGTTACTGTTCTGAATAGCATAAAGAAACTATAGTATTAATAACCCAGAATCTATTGTACATTATGACTGCAATTTCTCTCTGCCAAATTCTGCAATTCCTGCCAGTTGCACTTCAAATGTCATAATCATATTTCAAGGAAATAAACTGTAGCAGTCACTGTGGAATGTGACAGTTACAGAATCACACATAGAAAATAACAGAGCTATAATATCCACAGTGCTTTAAACAATCATATTTTTCAAAAATGAATAATTTGTGATTCTGCCTGAGAGCCCAACCAGCAATCAAATTCTTTTAGAGATTTTTAAAATTCTGCTATTTGCTTCAACAAAGAAATTTGTCAAATACAATTAGAAAAAAGCAAAAGGTCATTTTAAAAAAAACAAAATTTGTAAGAAATATCATGGAGAAAATAACTTCCAAGGATAAAGAAGTGAAAGGAAGATTAATATTAATGTTGGATGGCTTGAAAATTGAAGAAATGTTATTGTCAAATGAACAAAATCACAGGATGGAAAGACTACAATGCATCAAGGGTCTGCCTTCAGGTACAGCACATGTAACTATCATAATTTGATTCTACTTTTTTCATGTAACAGGAGCACAGATTAAACAAAGGACTTTTTTCACCGGAGTATCGGAGGTTGAGGGGTGACCTTATCAAGATTTATAAAATTACGAGGAGTATAGATAGGGTGAATGGCAGGCATCTTTTCCTAGGGTGGAGTATTTCAAGACTGGGGGCACAATTTTAAGGTGAGAGGAGAGAGATTTAAAAAAGACATGAGGGAAATTTTTTTTTAAAATCACAAGAGAATGGTTCGTGCGTGGAATGAACTTCCAGAGGAAGTGGTGGATGAGGGTACAGTTACATCATTTAAAAGACATTTAGAGGAGGGTCCTGGAGAACTGGAAAATGGTTAACGTAACACTGCCATTTAAGTTGAGAGGAGGGCAGAATCTATCAGCCAGTTAGCCAGCCTGACCTCAGTTGTTGGAAAGATTTTAGAGTCCATTTTTAAGGATGAGATTGCAAGTTTACATGGGTGATAGTAAAATGTAGGGTATGCAGGGTAGTTTGATCTTAGTAGGATAATAGGATGGCACAACATCGTGGGCTGAAGGGCCTGTACTGTGCTGTACTGTTCTATGTTCTATGAAATATTTGGAGGGATATGGGCCATGTGTAGGCAAGTGGGATTAGTTTATTTTGGGATTATGGTTGGAGTGGACTGGCTCGACCGAAGAGTTTGTTTCCATGCTGTATGACTCTATGACAGAGTGCTTCAATGTATAACTTGGGAATTTGTTGAAAATTCAGTGTAGAAGGGGACGAAGACATGGTTTTTGATGCCTTTTATCAGTTTTTAATACCTGGTAATTGTTCAAAGCTATTAAATAGGAAAACAGGCAGATCATCGGTTGGTGTGTTTTAAGATTTCCTTTGCTTAAACCAGAGCAGTAGTTTTGGTAGTAAGGAAATGCAAGTATTACATTATATTTATAGCTTAACGAGTAAACTACTTAACATAACAATAGATAACAGTTGAGTTATAATCTGAAACTTGACAGCTCCTTAGTTAAATAAATCACAACAATGATGACAGGGCAAGGGATTTACTACAGCTACTTGATTGTGTATCTAGGACACTACTATGCTTCATAGGAACCACATTGGCAGCAATCAAGTAACTTCAACCCCAAGATGATGAGCTGAAGCCTGAGCTTCGGACATAGCTTAGAACAGGGAGGGGACAAGGCGCCTGCAAACTTTGTTCCAGGAGGTACAACACCCCTTAGGATTGATACTTCTGATTTTACTCATGGTCAGCGAGAGGAGTTTGGGCCTGCAATGAAGGGGTAGGTATGTGGGCATAGAAGATAGCAATGAAGTAGCCTCAGCTCTTGCAACTATCCATAGCGTCAGCACTCTTGCAGCTTGAATGGAGGAAATCAGTGACTGTAGGAAGGATAAGCAAATGGGCTACAGCATCACAGTGCAAGAAGCCATTCAAACAGCAAGAGCAAAACAAGCTTAATTGTAATTGGGACAGTACAGTTACAGACATGGACCTGTTTTTTGTAACTGACAGCATGAGTCCCAAAGGCTGCATCTCATCAGGGCTGAAGAGGAACTTGATGTGGGAGGCAATGCTCACATCCCAAGAGCTAATAACAGAAAAGATGTGCAAGAGCACTTTGAATGCCAGATGAATCCATCAGCATTGCCATTTACAAAAAGTGTGTCATACTAAGAGAAATGCTGACAATCGACAGACACAAGTACATCGAGGATTCTACCCAGTACATCACTGATGAAAATATCAAATAAAATTGGTGACAGCATTTGACCTTGGCTCACTCCTTCTATGAAAAAGAAGGTTTCAGAAAGTTTCTTATGAACCTTTCTAGAGAACTTGAAGTGGCAGCAGATGTGTAAAACAAAATTCAAGATTTGATCCTATATTCCCATAACTCCCAACTCTTTATGGCAACTGGCTGAGGGATTAATAACTTGCATGTATATGGTATCTGTCACATCCAGTGTATTCCAGTGTATAAATGATATTACAATATTCCACAATCTTAAAATACCACACCTACCCAATATACTACAAAAGCAAAATCTAGCCTGTCCCTTAAAACCTCCTTTGCTGGTCTCAGACATGTAATCAAGTAAACAAATATAGCATATTGAGAAACTATTATAATTCCCTCCACTTTCCTAAAGCAACTTTTGGAACTTGGCACAAATAATTGCATCTGCTGTCCCAGCATTTGCTGGGCAACAAAGGATGAAGTCCACTTCTTCCCATTCAACTAGCTTTTTTCAATACATTTACTTTTTCTCCAACCTCCATGTAGATGGGCCTCTTCTACAGACAGTCATCACCAAATGTAGTTGTCACTCTGTACAGCCATGGCTTTGTTGTAGATCACAATACTTATTAGTCATTTGTTCCAGCCCTGAAAAACAACTTTTATTGGGTGATGACAGGCCTTAGCCAGAGTGAAAATGAAGGATCAATTCTGTTTAATTACACAATCTTGAAAATAATTTAATGAGCACACTCATTATACTAAAGAAGACAGTGAGTCCACCAACTTGAGCATCCAAGTCACAAAATACCTTTTACATAAAAGAATTGGGGAGCTGTCAGTCCTAACAATATTTCCACCTACAAAATATTGGTAACCTATAAAATACAAGTACAAAGTACGAATTACTAATGGTGTGAAAAAATATTTTCTGCTTCAGCCAACAGTAGACGTATTAAAACATTTTGAGGTAACAATTTAACTGGGGTAAGAACTGTTATTTATTAAAGCATTGAAATTTCTACCTTGTTTAAGAAAAGTTCTCACCTTCACTAGCTGGCTCTTGCACTGATAAGACTAATGCAGCTTTCAGGTTTCTTTGATAAAGTTTTTCATCAAGTGGCAACCTATGTTATGAAACAATCCGACGAGTGAGTTGAAATTATTAAAATTCCAATGCAAACAGCACTAACAGCACAAGTAGAAGGAAAGGTACATGCAGACATACAAGTTATCAATAATTATTTAACAATACAAAGAAAAAATCTCTCCAAATCTTTACAACTTAAACAATGACAAACATTAATGATATTTATCATCGCTACTCATACCATTTAAGGGGGCAGTTTTCCATTGCTGTTTTTTTGCTGGCAAGTTTCCAGAATTAATATGAATAGTTGGAATTTTGCTGCAAAGATCAGCCAAGTGGTTGAAACTCTTTACAAGGGTAGACTAAAGACTTGAAGAATTGAATTCAGTGAATAAAGGAACATTACTATAACAACAAAACCATAATGATATAAACCCCTCCAAAGAACTAGCCACTCATTAAAAGGGAAACGCTGAAATTGTGCCACTGAGGAAAGAAAAACTGATGTCACTAGTTCGGTGTACAGATAAAGACTCCTGCACCGGCCAGCAGTAAGTGATTTTCCATTTAAGTGATAGTACATTAGCTTTTGTCTTCCAAAGTATAGTATTTTTAAGTAAATACAGTTAAAATAGACAAATTGACATACAGCTCTTAAGAAAGAAAATGCTTGCATTTGTTCACATTTACTTACTTGGAATAATCTGCAAAATGAACAATAATCCTATGAATTTATTCACCTTTCTTTCGGTCGTTCCTTTTCAGCTTTTGCATCTTGACTGCCAGAAATGTTATTTTTTTTCCCTTTTATTTGTTTCTGATCCTTAGTTGTCAGACGGGATTTTTTACTTGGAGGACCTGATACATACGCAAAATCTTCATCTGTAAGAACATATGTACAAATACTGGAGAATATTTATTGTTCTAGTTACATGTAACAATTGTCTTAAGAAAATCACTACCTTTGCATAGCTAACAAGGTGTAGAGCTGGATGAACACAGCAGGCCAAGCAGCATCATAGGAGCAGGACGGCTGACGTTTCGGGCCTAGACCCTTCATCAGAA